GTCCGTCTGTCCGTCTGTCCGTATGAACGCAATCTATTTCGGCGCTATTGAAGCTAGAGACTTGAAATTTGGAACACATACTCGTGTATATCTCCGATTTATAAAGTGTTAAAATTTTCCCGATCCGCCCACTAGGGGCGTGGCAAATCGGAAAATGCATTTTCCGATATACCAGAAATCATGTTTGTTGAAGAGCTAGAAAGCTGAAACTTGGTATGTAGGTCCGCGTTGACCACCCAAGATCACGAGCTATGGCGGATATATCTACGCCCATTGGGGGCGTGGCAAATCGGATAAAACTGTATCTCCTAAAGTTGTAAACCTAGAATGCTGAAATTTTGCACGTCAGCTAATGGTATGATTCTATAAAGTCTGAAGATAAATTATAAGTCTACGCCCGTTGGGGGCGTGGCAAATCGGACCTGAAGATATAGTGATTTTTTAAATTCTCCTATATTTTGGACACTATTGATGGCAGAGACCTCAAATTTTGTATATATACTCGGACTGATCACCCAAGACCAAAAAGTTTTGTCGGATATATGTCCGCCCACAGGGGGCGTGGCAAACCGCAAAAGTTTATATCTCCTAAAGTATAATAGCTAGAAGCTTCAAATTTGGATAGTTGAGTTACTGGTAGCCTCCTCTATCGATTCCCCAAAAATAATTTTTACGCCTCTTTAGGGGCGTGGCATATCGAAAAATACCCTGTAATTTTCACATTTTTTTAGGGTAAGCATTCAAACTTTGCAGTTAGGGTAACGTTATCTCTTTCTAAAAACTGACCAAAAATGAGGTGTCTACGCCCAGTTGGGGCGTGGCAAATCGGAAAAACCTGTATATTCTACAGTATTAGAACGAAACTTAACTACTAAATTGTTGATGGGATGTGAATGAGTATTCCGCAGTCGGTAACGCCCGACTGCAACGTTCTTACTTATTTTTTATTAGCTTTATTAGTATAGAATTAGCGTTGGCCTATAAAATTAAATTGAATACATCATTAGAATATTTGTACCAGGAATGTTTTGATTTTTTTTATAGAATGCATAAAAATATTATTTGTGCGTAAGGACTTTGTGGTCAAGACAAAGTAGTAATTCCTTAAATAGATATAACGTATATTTTTATTAATGCATGATAATGCCACTCTATATGATATAAATTTGTTATAAGACAATCATGTTGGCCGTCTCACTTTTATGTATATTTACTATTAAAAAAGATATTTATATATGTAAATATAAGCTATATATGCATTTATAGACTAAATAGTAAAAGCTATATATAATTGCATTATATTTGCATAGCATATAGACTATATGCTTGTCGGGCATTTTAATGCATTCAACATTGTTAAAATGATGTTCATATGTGAATACCCTTAAAATATGTTCAACTAAATTCATTGTTAAATTATTGTTTAATCAGTTCATTAGTTCTTAATTTATAGTCCATAAGAGCGAGCTAAGAGGTAATAGGTATTTACAATCTAGCCAATTATGAAGAAAGCTGAGTTGATTATTTTGCCAATCCATAATCAGGCTGAGGCGACGAGCTGAAGGTTTATTTCCGATCGAAGCGATAACAGCTCTTCATAATCGAGCTGAGATCGGCGTCTGTAGATAGAGAGCTGATAGACCTGATAGTCGGGCGATCTAGAAAGCTTATAAATCAATTCAAATTGATAGAAATTTGCTGCATCATTGCTGCTGGCACAAATTGGCAAAATTTGCATGAGATTCCAGTTGAAGCCACTTGTAATTGGCAAATATTTTTGATTGATTACAAGTGAAATGAATTGCAAAGAATTGTGAAATTATATTCCTAATTGGAAGTGGCTCTTCCCTAATTAGTTTGCAACTTGAATTGACCGAAATTATGATGGGCAAACAATTTCAGAACATTGTAAAATAATAATTTCAAAGTGGAAACTACTAATTGGATGGAATTTAAGTTTCGCCTTCGCCTTGTTTGCCTTGGTAATTAACAAATTCATTGGAAGAAATTGTTAATTAATGCGATAAGGCGAATTCGAGTAGCTGCTATCGAACGGTTTCTGTATATACGGTTATACGCTTGTAAATTATAATTTAAAGATTCCCACGGTGAACTACAGTTATCTTATCGCAGGCCTTTCCAGCGTGCTGTCCAATTCAATTACGCATACGCCGTGTATGGCAGTCATGACAACAACAAGAACAGCAGCAGCAGCGGAGCGCTAATGATTATGAAATCAATGCGTTCATATTGTATACATATATATTTGGATGTGTTTATAGTAATTATAAAGCATTAATCTAGGCATACATATATAGTTCTGTTGCCTGCTTAATTGGTTCAATTAGTTGGCCCAGCCACAAAGCAGTTGAAGTTCGACTACTGTGTGCATATATATGTATATGTATATACATATGTTTCTCTTATCAATTGTCTAATTTGTGTGGTCAACATGGAAACTCGTTCGATTCACACTTTCCGCATTTCGATCGATAAGCGAAACGCGCTCTGCTTTCCCATTGGCATCAATCACGCCGTTGATTGATTAACATCGTGTGATTCTTGAGCTTGCGACTCGTGTCAAGCGATTGATTTCAGCAAGTAGATCCTCTCTAACCCGCTGTATCCACTTCGGCAATTGCCATTGAGCCACATTGGCACATTGAACTGTGTTCTTAATCAGTACTTCCTCAACTTTGGATGGAGCATAGCTCTGCAGCTCCCTTGATAATACGAATTAAGGAATTTGGCGTAGATTTGCTCGTTTTATGATTTTCTCTAATCTTTATATGCAATTCACGCTTAGTCGTTCTATTTGGTTCCCCCAATGCTATAAGTGTGCTATAAAGTTTAACGTTCAAGGTTCAAGATCCGGGTCTATTGGCCTCCTAGCGACGCATTTGCAATGCTCTTAAGAGCAAGAATTGAGCTGTGTGTGGTTTCTATTCAATTTCAAATAGAGAAGCGTATAAGTTATAGCAGAAATGCACTCAGCTTCAGGGGAATTCCTGCAGGACAGAGGAGGAACCCAATTCCTGGTAGAGCAAAGCAGTTCAAGCATTTCAGGCATTTCACGTAAGCTTTGAGGGAATCTTAGCAAAGTGTGTCACAAGCGCTTCCTTATCGTTCATGAGCAACAATTCATTGTGTATATATGTATATCAAAGAAAACAGGTGAATCAAGGTGAGGTCTAGCTTCGCCTTGACAACCAAACACCAAAAGTTATTCGCATCACACGCACCTGTTCAACCAAAACAATGCAGCAATGTGAAACACAAACAACAACCAAAATTGAACGAACAAAATAATGATAATAATTATTTTCGCCGAACAAAATAATTACAAAACACAAACCAAAACAAAAGACAATAAACCTGCAAAAAAAAGGTGACAGTCAATTAGGCAAATCGAGTGAAAAAACGTGCGCCAAAAACAAAATAAATTAATAATAAAACAAAAAGCTGAAAACAAAACGCGCTGTGGAATACCGCTAAAATTGTTGTTTACYTTTGTTGTTGTTGTTGTTTTCTCTTTAGCTGCGGCGCCGCTTGGCGTTTGTGACTTTTTGCTGATCAGCCAAAAAGTAAAACAAAAAGTGTGATAAATAAATCGAATTAAATAAAATAAAAACAAAATGGAAACAGTAAATTCCGTCTCATGGCTTTTGAGCTTATGACGTATACGCAGCGTACACCGCGCGGGCTAATTGTCTCCCCCAGGCCAGCCCAGCTGGTGCTTGGCTTTGTTTGCTTCTCTCTGTTTTTCTGCTGCATCTGAGTCAGCCAAGCAAATGACTTACAAGTCCATATCACCAATCTAAAGTTAAAATTAAGTGGCGAATTCATCGATGATCTAGCATACTGAAATTTTCTCCTTATGAAAATATTACACAAAAATATTCATTTATATTTTTAACTCTCATTACTAACAAATGATAAATGACTAACTTTATATAGGTAATTATATTTAGGGTTTGCAAGAAAGAGCGAAATATGAACATATATATGTACATATGCAATGCAGAGAAGCGAGAGTATAGAGATATCGAAACTCTTTCGGAAAAGAAAATTCCGTTGCATAAATATGACAGTTTGATAAATTCTGATCACTCGATATCTTAGTCTTATATTATATAAGATTCTTTAAAGCACTTTTAGTATTTTAAGCAGTTCTATGGCGAAGTGTATAATATAAATGTGTATATATAAATGCCATCTCTATTGATCTATTCTTACAATAATGTAATGTATAATGCATAAGTTATTGGATGATTCTTCATGAATGGACCCTTTCAATGTTTCAGTCAAGTTAAGATAAGAGACAGAGATGATCTCTGAGACAGCTATAGCGATCGTTGCTTCGTTTTAAAATTCTTATACAATAGTTCTTTTTAAAACAATCTCAGAGTCTCATTAGGCAAAAGTTGAGATGAAATACAATTACGTAGGGTTTATATCACGTTGATAAGCTAGCAGCATCATCTCTGTTCATTTCCATTTATTATAGCGCATAAGATAAATTTAGCTGCATTCTTTAGAGGGCTTCAAGATATTAGCTCGGGGAAGCCCCTTTCGTTCCTGAGGAGCTTAGTAATTGTACATGGGTTGCCCTGTTTAATTCTCCTCTGACTGCAGTTGAATGGCATTTAAGCCCGTCGAAATGCTCCCCAACCGAAAGTACTTAATGAACCTGGCTTTGTTCTGCTCATATGAATTGAACTAAGCGAGCCGATCAGAAGATGTTATAAATATGATGATCAAATGTATATAAATAAATATTTGATTCCAATTGGAAATGTAACACAAATGAAAGGAAAATAGAATCAATTAAATGCATGACATTGAAAAATGATCAGAACTCAATTGAGGTTTATTAGCTACTTGCGCTCTCGCAATGGTATCCTTTGCCACATTCTTAGAGGCAGCTTGATGGCTTTCATGATCCTATTAGCGGCACAGCGTGCCAATAAAAGAAATGGCGTGATGTCAGATGACATCGCAATGTCAACGAATTGCAGTTTCAATTGGCTTGTCAGCTATTTAATTGCCGTTATTGTTTCATTCGTCTTCCTCCACTCAGGGATGAGGAGTACAGCAAAATCGTGCCGCAGAAGATGGCATATCATATGGTGCCGGGCTCGGAGTTCCAGTGCAAAGTGCCCATGTCGATGTCGATGCCGATGCCGATGGCGAAGCAAAAGGTGCGCAAATTGTCGACCATCGATGAGCAGGACCACGATGCGGCCAATCGGCGAGGCATGATGAACCAGGTAAGATAGCTCGCTAACAACAACATACAGGAAAAACAGGTTGGCATCAGACTTATCAAGCAGACGTGCTGAAGCTTTAAGCTCTCTCAGCATTATTGACTTTAAGAGAGAGTCGCCACTCCCTTGGCGCTCTCTTTTATAGCAACTTTTGTCGGCTGTCCTTGAAAGTGAATTTTGTCGGCAGCAGCAGCTGCAGCAGGAGTGGGTGTTGCAGTGGCAGCAGCTGTTGCAGCAGTTGGTTTGAGTGGGGTTTGAGGTACAGCAACTTCAGCAACTCAGAGAGTTCGCATGAACATTACGATAATCCAGTCGAGCCCTTAACTAGCGTCGCATCGAAACAAGTTTTGTCTGTTCTAAGTAGACCGCAAAGCAGGCAGGAGCCCGTTTAATAACTTCAAGCCAACACAGCTAGGCCAAAGCACATTCCAGCTCATGGGCCGCTTTATAATAAAAGTGTTCAAATGTCCATTATAGGTGACAGTCATCAAGATATTAAATTATTTTTTCTATTCTACAATAATATAAATCAATCAAAAATCACACGTTTCTGTAGGGTATCATAAATCGATCATATTGTAGACATCATTATGTAATTATTACTACTATGAAAACTGATTGCAGTGACATGTGAGTCAAGTAATAATTTCATCAGTTTCGGTCAAGATATCTCTCACTTATTTGAGCATTATGCAATGCGTCTTTGATTATGTTATGTTAGCTATATTGTTTTAACTGTTCTATTTCCTTTCCTCTCTTTTCACTATCTTCTTTTTTGTCTGTCTTACTATTTATCTCTCTCTCTCTCCCTCGCTCTCGCTCCTATGAATTTTTATTCGCAAAGTAAGCAAAATAAAATCATTCATGAGTGAGTTTTTTCTCTCCCTATCTATCTCTTTCTCATCTCTCTCCTTCTTTTGCGATCGATCGTATTTAATCAGCAAGTAAAACACCAATATAAATTTTGAATATAATTATATCATTCTTCCTTGTTTTGTGTCCTGCTCCACACTTTCTCTCTCTCTCTCTCTCTCTCTCTCTATTATCTTTGAAATGCTCTGATCCTTCGTTTCGTTTCTCTTCCTTTTACTGTTACCGTCTCCTCTAGAGAACGGTCTCAAAAGACATTCAATTATCACAGATTATATCCATTGTTTTCTCATGCTTTAAAATTGGATCCTTCAATTAAAACTCAGCAAGCCTTTTTATAGGGTGCTCCACAACTTTGCGCAAAGGAGTTTGACAAATAAAAACCAAACCAGCTCTGGATTTTCTCTTCTCTCAGTCAGACACACACTCTCTCTCTCTCTTTTTCTTTCTCTCTCTGGTTTAACTATACGTAATGATATTGTTTATAGCCTGGCCTGACACTAGCTAGCGTGAAGGTCGCAATGATAAGATATAAATTGAAATTTCTTCGCATGATTAAGAAAATATGAAAGTAGATTCAGAGTGTTTATATAGGCGACACCTTCGATCGTACCATGAGGAATTTGAGTGACAGGCACGCGGCACAAAGAGGTTTCATTTCCCCGACATAGATCGTTTATCACCATTGATACCTCAAGTGGAAAGCGGGTCAGCTGCATGGCATTCGCAGTTGCTTTAATTGCAGCGCGTCGCAACTTCAATTGCCGCCAATTGCCAATCTTCCAATCAAAACTACGTCAACTTGCAACAGTGTCGCTTCCCCATTCAATTAAGCCTCAATTGCAGTTATTGGCTCCAACACGTCTCTAATATTGAATTGTGACTTCATGCATATATTGTGATCAATATCTGAGTGAGCAAAATAAGTTAGCTATTCATTTAACTTTGCTTTTCTAACTGTGTTTTATTATGTATGTATGTATTAGTAGATTCTATGCGTGTATAGGCATAGATATGCTGGAGTACCTAGATATGAACCCATTATAGTTATACTACAATATATACAAAATATCAGTTCTGAATCCTCATTTCTTTTAGACCATGATCAGGAATCACATCCTTACGTGCGTCCAATAACCTATAAGAATGAAATTGATGAAAACTATGTATAAAAGTAAAGCTATCACTTTCTATGTCATCCTATATCGAAGTAACTCACAGCTAAAAATCTGTTGGCTTTTATTTTTATTTTCACATGACTCAGCCATTCTTAATTGCCTTTTCAATGACTTGATAAAGCACTTGAAATTGATTCAAGTTCAAATCTGTTTGCTGCCATGCTAAATATAACTCTTATTCTCAAAGATGAACTAGATAAATATAATATGTATATGTATAAATAAAAAAATGTCTTTATTCCTTCTTCTTTGAATTTATTTCCATTAATTTGAGTATTTTAAATTAATTTGATTTGTATTTCCAATCAGATTTTATCCACTTGCGCCGTTCTTTTGCTCTCTGCGGGATGTGGCATGCCCATTGGTTACTCGGCGGTTCTGTTGCCACAGCTCAGCATGAACTCGACGGAGGTGCCCATAGATGTCAGCACCGGCTCTTGGATAGGTAAGATGATAACTGAGCTATAATCTGTACAACGCCAAGTATGATATATTAGTAAATATATATATTAGTAAATATATCTGAACAAACTCAAAGTACTATATTCGAAATTTTCTGACTCTTCGCTTACATTTTTAACAGTTCAGCTATTTATATATTTATCTGTCTGTTTACATATCGATCTATCAAATATCTATAATTACATTCAAATACAATAATAGGTAGTTTAACCATATATATTTCTTAAATATGCCAAAGTCTTCTGAGCTTCATTCAAAGTAGAAAATTACAGATAATATGAACAAAATATGCTAAGAGATACATAAATCTAGCCATGAATAAAAGAAAAGAAAAGTTTTATGCAATTTTATAAAATGATTTAGTTTACGTCGTTTAAGAATATCTAATTTTATAAATTTTTATTTTTCATATATTGTAGAAAATAGACTTGAACTAAACTATTTTTGGTCGCAGTTCAACTAAACGAATTCTAAGTAGTTACATTTATATAAAGTCTTTAATCGTACATTAAGTATTTCGAACTAAATCTCTGCTTCCTCTTCCTGTTCCCTTTGCAGCCAGCGTACACAGCTTGGCCACGCCGTTCGGCTCGTTAATCTCTGGACCACTGGCCGATTACCTGGGCCGCCGCAGAACTCTGCTGGTGTCGGTAATACCCCTGTTCCTGGGCTGGAGCACCATGGCCATGTCGTACTCTGTGAAGGCGCTGATATTTGCGCGCTTCCTCTGCGGCTTTGCGACTGGAATTCTGGGCGGACCCGGCCAGGTAATAAAGACGCGCCAATGCCAATATCGCATAGTTCGTTCACACTGCCATTTGTCCAACTGACACATTAACCAGATTAATAAATAGGTGACATAATACGCCGCAGCCCTGACGCCCCAGTAGGAATTGTTGTGCTCCAAATGCCCCAGACAAGTGGGTGACAAAAAGACGCAGCAGAGCTGTCAGCTGCCTTTTCTCGTTTCTCGTTTCTCCTTTCTCATTTCTCGTCTCTCGCTTGTCGTTTGTCGCTTGTCTCTTGGCTTTTGTCGGTTGTCAGTTGGCTGTCAACTGCTCACTTAATTCCATTGTTCCGACTATAATCGAGTGCTCCATTGTGCTGTATGTTAATCCATACTGCAGCGTCCCTCTCACTCGCCCTCCCTCTCTGCGCAGCTCAATTTTCGCACAGCCGGCGTTTGTTTATTCATCTTATGGATATGCCCATGACTTATCCAGCGGCCAAAATGATAACGCAAGCGTCTTCCAAATGCGACGCAGTCCATTTGCATTAGCAAATCGCTTTCCGCACACACAGCTTCAAGTTCCGGATTCTTGACCTTAGTCTATAATAAGTGTGTTGTTGCCAGCTGGGCGCCGGCCTGCGGGCAGGGGGCGGGCTGGCTGCGCCCCAAACCGAGCAGAAACTTGTTGCGCGTGTGCCTCGAGAAACGTATTTCATTAATTGTCGTCTGCGGCGGCAGTGGCTGAAGATTTATGATTTTATGATTAAGCTTCAGATTATGCTGATATATCTAGTTGATACAGCTGCTTGATATTCCTGTGACCCTGTTTGCCATTCAGTTTGATCAAACTGTTTGTTCATAGACAACAGAGCGCGGGCCCCTACGTGAGTGTCCCAAGATTAAGGGAAAGCTGTTGTCGCTTGCTTGTTGTGGATTGCTCGAGAACTTGTGCGAGGTCAAGGTGGGTTAAGCGTTCTCTGCTTCCAGGAATTCGTCACGCACTCATCTTGCCCGGTTGTTCAGCTAAATGATTCAGTGGGGGTGCTTTGGCTACATATAGCTATACCATGGGCGATAATAAATAGCACTTGAGTCTACTTATATATAGATTCTCACAGAGATTTCAGCTTGGGTCGAAGCAGGTGTCAATTTTTGATAAGCTAGCACTTATTGAAAATTACCTAATGGAGGTCTTATAATTTATCAGTAGAGTAAGGCTCAATCCATCAATACGATTCATTCAATTGAGCTGATCAAGTAGCTATACAAGATTAGTTCTAATAAGCTATTAAACCATATAAATACTAGAATTTTTGGTTGGTGATTATGAAAGCTGAATTAGTTACTGAAGAAGTGAATAGCTAACTTGATAACTTGAACTTGTTATATTTTTGTTATGACAGATTGAAATTCGAGTAGTATAACATTTGATAGAACTAAAAACAGTAAGTAAGAATGAGTTGGAGTATAATAGAGTACAGCTATAATTGAGATTGACGTTGATGAATTATGATTCTGTTTTGAGTGACGATTAGAGAGTTAGATAATAATATAATAAGCTAGATAATAAGTTCAATGATAATTAGATGATCAGATGAATACATATGGTATGACAAAAGTTGCTATATTAATTACTGATGGAATGAGGTGAGATAGGGTTTGGATATATCGTACTCTGGAAACATGACATTACTTTCCTCCATAGACGGGAAATCATTATTGATCGACCACTTCAATATTCTGCAATATTATTCAACGGAAGAAATTACACTTTTGATATATTATTATCCATTGATTCGCTCTGTAATTGACCATTTAGTAGATCACCCACATTTCATAGACCATCCCAGATATGTTACAATATTTAATATAATTATGAAAGGTGCTCTAGTTGATCTCTCCCATTCTTCTTTCCAGGTGTACATTGCCGAAACAGCAGAGCCGAATCTGCGCAGTCTGCTCATTGGCGCTCCGTACGTGGCCTATTCGTGCGGCATTCTGTTCGTCTATTCGCTGGGCACCATTCTGTACTGGCGCGACGTGGCCTGGTGCGCCAACATCCTGCCGGCGCTGGCTGTCGTCTCCATCTACTTCATACCGGAGACGCCGGCTTGGCTGGTGCGCAATCGCTTAGAGAAACGCGCGCTGCAGGCGCTCACCTTTCTGCGTGGCAGCGAGATCACCGCCCAGAAGGAGTTGAACGACATGAAGGTGCGCTTGGAGAAGGAGCGAGCCACAACCAAGACGAATGAGAACATCTTCAAGCTCTGCTGCCAGCGTGTGGCCATCAAGCCGCTCTTCATTGTGATCGTCTTCTCGCTGCTGCAGATGTTCTCCGGCACCTTCATTGTGATCTTCTACGCCATCGACATCATCTCCGAGTTTGGAGCCGACTTCGATACGAATCAGGCGGCTATTTGGACAGCGGCTGTGCGTGTGCTCTGCTGCATGATCTTCTGCGGCATTCTGATCTTTGTGCGCCGCCGTCTCATCATGGTCATCTCGGGCATTGGATCGGGCGTCTTTTGCCTGGTGCTAAGTGTCTTTATGTACATCCGTATGGGTCAGCCCAAGATGCCCTACGACGTGCTCGTGGCAGGCGGTTGCCTCCTCGGCTACATCGTCTTCAATACAGCTCTGATGGTAATGCCGGGCATCATGATCGGGGAGCTGTTTCCTGCTCGCATTCGTGGACGCACAGCTGGCGGTGTATTCGCCTCGATGAATGTGGCTTTATTCATATTTGCCAAGGCCTTTCCGGCGCTGCAAGCGTTTCTGAAGATGCGCGGCGTTTTCATGGTCTTTGCCGCCTCCAGTTTCCTGCTGACAGTATTCATGTGCCTGTTCCAGCCGGAGACAAAGGGCCGTAGTCTGGAGCACATCGAGGATTACTTCAATGGGGACAATTGGCTCTGGCTGAAGCGTGATCGTGGCTACAAGACGGTCAAGCTGCTGCCCCTGGAGCCGCTGGCGGAGAATCGTCCTCTGCAGCGCAACGTAGAACATGCCTAAGCATAGAATTGTTAATTATTAGTTTTAATACAGGGCTCTAAGATTCCGTAAATTGTTAGCTAGTATTATGCATAGCTTCTAAGAGCGCTGGAGTACCTCGTAGCAGTAATCTTAGTGTCTTTCCAGTGTTCCTTAGTAACTCCTATAAATCACCAAATAGAAATATTTTGAGCTCAATTCCAGTTAATTTAAGAAACGTGATTTTTGCAATTATGCATTAGAATTTTAAAGTCTCGATATAGAGTATATATGATGTATTTGTACGATTATATGATTAGTGATAATAATAAAATATTAGCAGTAATTTGAAGTTTTAAATTTATTTGAGGGCCACTTGCAGCCAAGTTGAAGTTATCGGCCCGCCACCACAAACTAAACGCCGTGTGCTGCATTTGTTTGACTTTTATCTGATGTTTTCATTTTTGTGCAATTATCGTATCACCTAAAGAAATTATCAAAAAATGTAATTTATTATTATTATCAGTTAGCCACATTTTCGGTAGTAGTATTAAAAAGCTATTAACGTTCTCAACGTTTGAATCTCGGGTGAGTGAAAGTGCTGCCAGATCGTTTGATTTATATGCGCTGAGTTTTGTTAGGTTTATTCTTATCATCCGACCGCCACAGTTTCGTTAAAAGCTTATCGATAAAGCACTAAAAGCTCTGTTCGTTAACAGCGCGCGTTAGCTGCTGTAAAATTTAAATTCAAATACGTGTTTCTAAATATATACAGTTTTAAGGAATAAACATCTATGTATAATAAAAGATCATATTACAGTTAAGTCTAAATTCATTAGATTAAATCAAGTTTTCATATAATTACAATAAGGAAGTGTTTTTAGTGCACCATTGCCCCATCATACTTTGGCAATTATGTAATTTGAAATATGCAGTACAATAGTAATTATTAAGACTTTGACCTGCTCCTTCCTTTCGTACTACCCAGAGGTGAACCCATTGCGAATGCGGACAAATTACGTACAACTACTCTATACATTTAGGAAAATAAAAATGCCCCACGTGATGTTAAATTTTTAATAGACTTCTCAGCGGCAGTCGAGTTGAAGTTTGAAATTAAAAAAAGAAAGGAAAAGAGAAAACAGAACAGAACTGGGCGTGCATGCATATTTAAAATTCTATTATCCCCATCAGTCCCCGGTTTTGATACTCGTCCTGCACTCGGTTCGCAGTGTGCTAATAAATTGTATAATTCTTGGCATTTTTTTTTACCGACTCCGCGCTTGTTTTGGCTCGACAAACTTGTGCCGTGTATTTTTTTTGTGCATTCCTCGGTGGTGGCAGGTGGTGGTGGTGCTGGTGGCTGGCGGCTGGCGCGCTGGACAAGTGGGTGGGCGCGAGTGGGCAGGCTTCCACTAGCCGGAGTGCAAGCGAAAAAAATTGCTGCGGCATACCGGAAACACTTCAAGTTGCTGAGCTCATTCGTCTCTGCGATTTGTTGGCATTTTAACGCGACCAACAAGTTGGACTGCTCATCGGGTATGATAAAATATGTGTATACTCAGTACATGTAACATGCCTTTGATGTCAAATATATATTAAGAATTATCGGGCACAAACGATTCACATTGAATGCTGTTGGAGAGACCTTAAAATAATATTGTATAATAATTATTTACAAAATATTTCATAAAATATATTGGATGATACAGATACATTTATAAACTATGAAAACTTTGAAAATGGATGTATTTCACTAGAAGAGATTTATTAGGTACACAAAATATTAGATCTATAAATATATACATAAGATTTATAATGAAAGTAATATACTTGAACAGATGATCGTTTGCATTTTCTTTCTTAATCTGTAGACTCGTCGGTGTAGTGTAATGAAAAAAGATGAATTATACAAAATTAACAATTATTTAACGTTGAAGTGACTCTTACGCTATATACCCCATAAGCTACTACAGGGTATAACGACATTGCCAGCAATAATTGTACCGAGTGCTGCGCGTCAGCTAAATATATAGGGACAAGCTGGTCGAGGGAGGCGTTGAATGTTGTATAGTGGGCGTGTTGCCTGCTCATGCAATGATAAATGAAGTTTTAGTGGCTTTTGACCCATTTAATAAATTGTTAAAGTTGAAAAATGCGCAAGAATATTGTGAACTTTTATGCCCTAACTATGTACGTATATATTTCGTATATATAAATGTAAGTATGTATACTTATGTATATAAATTTGTTGTTGYTGCTGTCTGAATTAGGGTTAATTTAAAAGTTGCTTGCAAAACTGACCCTTGGACTGCGAACTGAAGTTGCTGCTGTTGTTGTTGCACTTGTTGTCCCTTGCTGCTGTGCTGTGCAAAGTTTTTTACTGTTGGCCCACTTTTTGCAGCAGCCAAAGTTGCGGAATTTTAAATAATTTTGTTAAATTCTATAACGTGCCATGTTGCACGGCTCAAGCCTAGGCTCTGTTGCCACACCCCTCACCCCGCACCCCGCACCCCTCAGCCCTCGCGCCATCGGCTGCCGCTCAGCTCCAGCGTTGGCCAACTTGCAAACTTGGCTGCTTATTAAGTTAGGGGCGACAGTTTTCAGTTAATGTGATTATGCGTTCGTTTTAAATGCAATTTAATATTTTCATTTACGTTTTCGTTTTCAGCTCGCCAGCCAGCTACAAAGTCTCTAAAATATGCACAATAAACATGCGGAACTGGGCTTGGGTTGGCTTGGCTCGGCTCGGCTTGACTTGGCTTGGCGTTCAGGTCAGGTCAGGCTATGCTTCAGCCRTAATAAGCAGCATAAAAGGCTTCGGCTTTCTTTCGGGCAGGGACATAGCTGCACAGTTACTCTCTGCATCTATACATATATATGTATATATATGTATATATCTGAGTGTATTGCATATAAACAATTTTCTATTATGCAAAAATAACAACCGAGAACAACAAAAGCAACAATAGCAACTTGAATGGATTTCTGCATAAGAAAAGCAGCGAGTGAAGTTGAAGTATGACCAAAGCAGCAGCAGCAACAGCCAAAGCAGCTAAAAAAGAGAGTTGCAACTTGCTCGACCTACACCAACAAACCTTTTTACCCTTTCCTCAAAGCTGCCCACAACAAGAAGTTGTGCCTCCGCAGCGATGTTTGCTGTGCGCTACACACAAAAAATTATAAAATTTATATTCGAATCTATTATTTGTAGACTATGAAGTATTTTAGATTTCAGTTATAATAAAACATAAAAATATCTTATTTAATTCATAATAATAATTGTCTAAATATTTTCTTTTTTTATATTAATA